CACTCTGGCTGAGATAGGAGGCTACTGGATAATTTTAAATGGAAGAAGGAAATACAGTGAGTTATGCTTTTAAAGGATTACTCTGGCTGCTGGGGTGAGAAAAGACAGCAGAGTGGCAAGGTCAGATGCAATGATGATCATGGTTTGAACCAGGGCAGTAGCAATGTCTAACAAGTGGTCGTATCCTGAATATATTTTAAAGGTAGTCAACAGAATTTGCTGACAGATTAGATATGAAATGAGAGAGAGAGAGAGAGAGAGAGAGAGAGAGAGAGAGAAATTGAGCCTGGCACTAAGATGTTTAGCCTGACCAACTAGAAGACTGAACTGCCATTCATTTAGATGAGGAAGATTGCAGGAGGAGCAGGATTGGGCAGGAAGATCATGAGTCTGTTTCTGGACACATTAAATTTAAGATGTCCATCAGACAAGCACATGATATCCCAGGAGAGGAGATTACACAAACAAGTCTGAACAAGGTAGAAATGGGCCAGAGAGTCATCAGCATAGAAAGGGTATTTAAAGCCATGACATGATAGGATTGCTTGCGAGTGAGAGCAGGCAGAACAGGGAAGGGCTCACAGCACTTCTCCTGAGCCCTGGGACACTCAAATTATCAGTTGAAAAGGAACCAACAAAAGAGAATGGAAAAGAATACCAGTGAGGTGGGCAGAAACTAGAAGAGTGGTGCCCTGGAAACCAAAGGAAGTGCTTCAAGGAGGAAGAAGAGTCAAATCCTGCAAAGTTAAGAAAGGTGGGCTCATAACTGACTCCTGTGTTTAACTGCATGGAGTTGGGAATGAAGCTCACAGCTGGGATGGATGGGGCTCGGAGGGGGTGTCTCAAAATGGGCTGAGGAAATAATAGCAAGAGGGGAACTACAGACAGGGAATGTTAATTCTTGAGGAATTTTGTTATAGAAGAGAAATGGGGTAGTGCCTGGAGGGGTATGTAGAATCTAGAGTTTTTCTGAAATAGGAGAAATCACAATATATTTTGTACATTAACACACACAAACATACAGAGAGAGAGAGAGCGAGAGAGAGAGAGAGAGAGAGAGAGAGAGAATGAACCAGAGAGAAGGAAAATCTGATAATTCATGAGAGATGTGGATGGAGAAGTGTTTACTGGAACAATATCTTGGAATAGATGAGAAGGTTTGGTGTCTCCTGAAAAGTGGAGAGCTTGACCTTAGCTAAGAGCATAACAGTCATTCATGGTACACACACTATAGGAGAGAAGGTAGCACATACAGACCCAGATACAGGTAGGTGAGTAGATCATGTGGACTTTTTCTATGAGAAAATAGAAGCAATCAGAAGAGATAGGAAACAAAGTCATCAGCTAAGAGTGAAGACAGGGGAGGAAGCATTTGGAGGTTTAAAGGGCAAGAAGGTAAGAATCAGATGTTTAGGAGAGGTGAATAAGTGAACGAGGGAGGTGCAATAGGCTAGCTGGGTAGCACTTAAGGATGCACCTGAGGTTAGTAACAAATTTAAAATGAAACCAGCCAGCACATTTGTGTATACACTAGGAGAGCCTAAGCTAGCCTGGGGTGGCAGTGTCAAGGAGGCTTGAGCACTAAAGGATGTGTATGCATGAACCAGCTGGCACAAGGATTTAAGGCACAGAGCATAGCCTGTGTGAAGGCTCCACGGAAGGAAACATCAAGATAGACCTGAGGCCCTGGCCTGGTAGCTCAGTTGGTTAGAGCATCATCCTGATATGCCAAGGTTGCAGGTTCCATCCCTGGTCACAGCACATACAAGAATCAACCGGTGAATGGATAAATAGGTGGAACAACAAATCGATGTTTCTCTCTCTCTCAAATCAATAAATAAAAAAATTTTTTAAATCAACCAATGGCCCAGCCTGTATTGCTCAGTGGTTGAGATCGACCTATGAACCAGGAGGTCATGGCTCGATTCCTGGTCAGGGCACATGCTTGATCCTCAGTGGGGGACATACACAAGGCAGCTGATCAATGATTCTCTCTAGGACTTGTATGCATGCATATAAGCCTAACCAATGGACACAGAGAGTATGGGGATGAGGGCATGTGCTGGGGGGCAGAAGTGGCTAGGGAAAGGTCAATGGGGGGGGGGGAAAGGGACATATGTAATACTTTTAACAATAAAGATTAAAAATAACTAACTAAATAAATAAAAATAAAAATCAACCAATGAATGCTAAGTGGAACAACAAATCAATGTTTCTCTATCCCTTCGTGTCTCTCTCTCTCTCTCTCTCTCTCTCTCTCTCTCAATTTTTAAAAGCCCTCTCCCTTCCTCTTTCTCTGAAAATCAGGCAAAAATATTTTTTCAAAAAGAATAAAATCCATTTAAAAAAGAAAAAAGACTTGAGGAACTGACACAAGGGTAACAGGTAGCACAAGGCTTAAGGAAGGGGAGGGAGAGGTACAGAAAGAGGCTAGAGAGGGAAGTCAGACCTTGGAGGCCATCTAAACATAGTGGTCCCATTCTGAAAGCAACAAGAAGCTAGTGAAAGATGGAAGTGTGTGTGTGTGTGTTGGGGTGGGGAGGAGTAATAACAGTTACATTCTGGAAAGATCACTCTAACTGTTGGGTGGAGTATGCAGAGGTATAGGCGGCAGCAACGAGTTGAAGCAGGAAGACCAGTTTGACTAACTGTGGTAGTTCTAGGCAAGTAATGGTGGTGGCACAGACTGGGGAGCTGTCAGTGTCAATGGGAAATATGACATGTAAGATCCTATTAACCTATGTCACCCCAATAAATAAAGAGATTTAAAAGATTTTTAGGAGATAAAATCAATAGGACTTGAATAATAGATATGGGGGTAAGAAAAAGAGATGTGTCCAAGGTGCTGTCTAGGTTTTCCACTGGGTGTGATTCATGGAGATGGAGAAGTCTGAGGAAGAAACAGGTTTGGTGGGGGAAGGTCATTAGATCAAGTTTGGGCACGCCAAACTTCCCCACCTAAAAACTCTAATGAAAATCTAAGGAAGAGATGGCAGTAGTTTGAACTAAAGATGGTGGAAGAGTGGACACCTGGGTAAGCATTAAGGACCTATGACCCAGAGGAATGGCTGATGGAAGGAATAGGATTAGGGACAAGATGACAGATTTCTGACTTGGCAGCTCAAGAAGGGTCCAAGGAGAAGAAACCAGCCTAGGAGCAAGTGAAAGTAGGTGTCCCCAACCATGTTACATGCCTTTCTCCACTGTTAGCATAACTGCCCATCTCTCATTCACCCATCCTTCATGGAAAACTACTGCTGACACTCCTTCAGCGCTTTCTGAGCCTGCTGTGTTCATGCTGCTCACCTCTTTCCCGTCCAACAGAGCTTCTCTTTGGAAACCAGGGAGACATGACAAGGGAATGTCCACTGCCCCTGTGCATACCTCACCAGAGTTCTTGTACTGTAACTTCTTCCCTGTCCTCCTCGCTAGCCCATGAGCTCCTCGGGGAGAGGAAACCTGTCTTGCTTGTATTCCAATAGCTAGCATGACTCCTGGCACATAGAGAACTCCAAATACACGTTGGTTGAATGAACAGAATGAGTGCCTGCCTCTTAAAGACTTCCCTCAATGTTAATCTGCATTTCTAGGGAGATGACATTAGAAATGTTTTTAAACGAGTGTTTCTGGTGTGAGGTTTTCCCTGACTATCATATTATAAATTAAGGGACTGTTCCCTTTGCAGTTTTTGGTTCTTGACAAAAGTGAAGCAAAGTTTTCCTTACCTTTTCCTTTTTCAAGTCTGTGGTGCCTAATTCCTACCCCATCCCACAGAACACACCCTAACCCTCAGAAAGTCTTAAGCTTTCTCCCAAGCAACCAAAACCTGAAAAATCTAAAAAACAAAAACAAAAAACTTTTAAACCCCTCAGAGTAAAGTCAGAAAGCACTCATGAGGTTTAATACCAACAGGTTACTTCCCCTAGATATCCCCAAATATGCATCCTGCCAGAAGACCATGTCCAAAGCCAAGGAGCTTTTAAGGGAGTCTTGTCCATGAAATCACAAAAAGGAAAAAAAATGTAGAAAACTCCCTTCTATTAAGGCCTGCCCGGTCAATGAGCGCTGCCTTCCACACAAAAACAGGTATAAACAAAGGGGGGGGGGGGGGGGGGGCGTCCCAAACCATTCCCCTCTCCCGAGGATCCAGCAAGTGTCCATCTCTCCACATTCCCGCCCCCACCCCCACCCTCTCGGGACCACAAAGCTCACGCACCCTGCAGCGCTGCCAAGATCCCCACGATGCCGGTCCCCGCACCCAGTTCGATCACCTTCTTGTCTCGGAAATCCACATTTTGATTTTCGAAATAGTTGCACAGGCTCAGAGCCTATAAGAGAAAGAAAGACCGTCGCGGGGATCGCTCCATATGGCAAAGGGCGAGTCCGGGTCTGGCGCTCCCGTGGGCCCGCGCCCGGGGCCGCCCACTCCTCACCGCATCCCACACGCGCGCGGCCACCCCGAGGCGGGACCCGAAGTTCTGCGTGATGCTCAGCACGTGCCCACAGAAACAGAAGCGGCTCTTCTCCGAGTAAGAGTCGGCGAAGAGCCCGACCTCCCGCGGGAACACCGATTCGGGCTCGGAGGCAGGATCTGGACGGAGGTCCGCCATCAGGTCCCACGCTGGCTGCCCCGTGGCCCCGAGCCCCGCCTCCTGAGTCTGCCCTCCTCCCTGCAGTTGGACTTCCCGGACGTGGGATGAGGAGCTACCCTCCCACTCGGGTCCCCAGCCCACACCCGCGGGACTCACTCCAGACCACGCTGGTCAGACCCGGCAGTCTGGTCCGAGGCCCAAGGACTGTTCCCTTTGCAGGGGGGCGGCGCGAGGATTCCTTCTGCCGTGGAAGGGGGGGCCCCAGACCCCTTTTACCTGCGGGGTGCACGGCCTCCTGCCGCCGGGGTAGTCACCCGGGGCCGGCCGACGCAGGCCCAGGGAAGAGGCGGGGCGCGGGTCCTGCCTCTCCGGCCCGGGACAGACTTGAGGTGCAGAGGCGCCGGCGGCACGGATCCCCTCGGTCCGCCCCGCCCCGTCCAATGCGCGCTCTAGGGTCTTTAAGGGGCGGGGTCTGCTCGGACGTGCTTTGCGTCATCAGCGTGCGCCGCGGCCGCGGTCTCCACGTGGGTTCAGCAGAGACTCGGGCTGGGGATCATGGCGGGAGCCGAGGCCGGGGGCGCGGCCGGAGCCCAGGCCCCGCAGCCGCAGAAGCGCTACTATCGGCAGCGCGCTCACTCCAACCCCATGGCGGACCACACGCTGCGCTAGTGAGTGCGCGGGGCGGGGCAGGGCAGGGGCAGGGGCAGGGGCAGGGGCAGGGGCAGGGGCAGGGGCAGGGGCAGGAGGGGGCGGAGCACTCAGGGTGGCCCCAAGCCGCCGCGGAGAGCGGTTGTGCTGGGAGGGTTCCTGGTAGCCCCGGAGGCTGGGCTGCGTGACGTCAGCCTTGGGGGCGGACCGGGCAGAGTGGGCGGTGGGCGGGGTGCGGGTTGGAGGGGGCGTGGCGTTCTGGCCGAGTCTGGGTTGAGGTGCTAGTCTGGCCCGGGAAATTGTCACTGAGACAATTGTCAGTGATGGCGACAGCATGCCTTTTACATCGTAAGGTTTCCTTTGTCGGATTTAATAAAAAGACAAACACCCAGCCGGCCTGCATCTTACTCCATCCTCTTCACCCAGAGCACGTAAGCAAAGTAAGATCCCAGCGCCTCCAGGAAGCCAGTCTCTGGGAGAAGGGGAACTCGTGCCCAGCCAGTCATCAGCCCCTAGATATGGAGATGGGCGGGCCTCGTGATGGGCCTATGATTCACAGGGTGGTTTCCACTGTATCTCCTAGAGGCCACGGGACCCACTGTTACAGAATTGTTTAGAAACCCTCCCATCTACTTCCCATCCTTACCCATCCACCCACGCACATGTAGCGACACTGCTGCAATAGTATGGCCAGCCCTCTCACGTTTCTCACGTCTTCTCTCCAATAGCCCTGTGAAGCCAGAGGAGATGGATTGGTCTGAGCTATATCCAGAATTCTTCGCTCCACCGACTCAAAATCAGAGCCACGATGACCCGAAGGATAAGAAAGAAAAGAGAGCTCAAGCCCAAGTGGAATTTGCAGACATAGGCTGTGGCTATGGTGGCCTGTTAGGTAACACTCTGTCTGGGCAAGGAAAGGCAATGCCTAGGTTCTGCCACCTCAGCAGATTTGGTGGGGGCCATAGCTGGCCTTTCCCCTTCGGACCAGACACGAGTGCTGTGACATCAGTGGGGAAAGTCTCCACCTTCCCTCTACTCTGGGTCTGTGGCCTTTGCCCTGGGGAAGGGAGGGGGCTGCCTCAAATGCCTCTTCAAACTTGGGTTGTCCTGTCTGGCCTGGCCCCTGGCCCCAGTCACTATGTGAGCCATTTCACCTGCCAAGTGCCGGGTCAGTGAGCTGGTCAGCACAAGCGTCAGAGATTAGCCACTGTGGCCAGTGATCCTGAACTGTCTTTCTCAGGGATTCCATCACTCCCCCCTCCCTCACCAGAACTCATTCCTTCTGCTCCACTCTCCTGTTTTTGAGTTCCTCTAGTATTCTTTGTATTGTCCCCATACGTGCTTGCTAAGCCACTTCTCTATTTTTACATCTTCCCATAGAGATAATGACATGACAAAGAGGAAGAGCATGGTACTTGGTGGCAGAAAGCTTTGGTTCAAGTTCCAGTTCTGTCTCTTCTTAGCTGTCTGACCTTGGACATTTCTTATCCTCAGTTTCCTCATATTCACAGTTTACCACAGAGTTCCAAGAGAGTTAAATGAGAGAATGTGTGAAAGCACTAAAGCACTTGCAAATATACATGTCTTCCCAGGCTCTCCAACTTCCAGTCCTGGTGACAGTTTTAATATCTCCCCCAGCCCTCTACTCCAGTGTAAAACCATCCATATAGACCTCTCTGTCCACACTTGCCATTGCGGATATTGGTAGTTGCAGATTGAGGTTTCCTTTCCTGAACTGACTCCTTTGAAGTTCCTGTAGTATGAGGTTGATGATTCCATTCCTATTTCTGTATCCAGTGGAACTGTCACCGCTGTTCCCAGACACACTGATTCTGGGTCTGGAGATCCGGGTAAAGGTCTCAGACTATGTACAGGATCGGATTCGAGCCCTACGAGCAGCTCCTGGAGGTGGCTTCCAGAACATCGCCTGTCTCCGCAGCAACGCCATGAAACACCTTCCTAACTTCTTCTACAAGGGCCAGGTGGGGAGGGGCCCTGGTGGGTTAGGCTGGTGGAAAGGTGGGACATGGAGGTCAGGCTCTCACAACCCAGTTTGTGCATGTCTGTCTCACAGCTGACAAAGATGTTCTTCCTCTTCCCTGACCCACATTTCAAGCGGACGAAGCACAAGTGGCGAATCATCAGTCCCACACTACTGGCAGAATATGCCTACGTGCTGAGAGTTGGGGTGAGTTGGGAGTGGGAGGAAGGGTGGGGTGAGTGTCCTATTCAGGGACCTTCCACTAAGAATTCAGTGGGGCCCCAGCCGATTTGGCTCAGTGGATAGAGTGTCAGCCTGAGGACTGAAGGGTCCCGGGTTCGATTCTGGTCAAGGGCACATGCCCGGGTTGTGGGCTAGATCCCCAGTAGGGGGCATGCAAGAGGCAGCTAATCTGATTCTCTCTCATTGATGTTTCTCTCTCTCTCTCTCCCTTCCCCTCTGAAATCAATAAAAATATTTAAAAAATAATAATTCAGTGGGAATGCAGCCCATCATCTTGCTGCTCAATTGCATACAGCCCCCCTGATTTTGCCTGTGCAGGGGCTGGTATATACTATAACTGATGTGCTGGAGCTACATGAATGGATGTGTACCCATTTTGAAGGGCACCCCCTATTTGAGCGTGTGCCTCTGGAGGAGCTGGTAAGTTGGGGGCCTAAGGGAAATTGTGAATATACAGGCCCTTTCCAGACTGGTGTTATAGTCTTTGAACCCAGCTTAGTGCCAGGAGGATGGGATGGGAGTCTCAGGGCCAGGGGTGGTCAAGGACTTATTGGACCCTTCTCCCAGAGTGAAGACCCTATTGTGGGACATTTGGGCACCTCAACTGAGGAGGGAAAGAAAGTTCTACGCAATGGAGGAAAGAATTTCCCCGCCATCTTCCGAAGAATACAGGATCCCACCCTCCAGATGGTGACCCCCAACACTACCCCTCCTGGTCACTGACTGCTTACCTCGCTTCATCTGGACTCCTTCCAGGAACTAGAAAGAAGATCAACCCCCTGGACCTTCCCAGCTGAGACTGCTGGGGCTTTGAGGCAACAATCTCTCAAAGAAGTTGGGGGACTGCCCAGGGCAGATCCCTGGTTTTCACTGCTACCCTTGCCTCTTCCTCTCCTGCCCCTCCATTGCCAACAGGAAGTACAAGAAGCTGACTGAGAAGGTCAGAAGACCTTGAACCAGTAGGGATATTTGGGAGGGTTGGGGTCTTGCTCCTCCTTAGCACTTCCTTCTCCCCCTGGGATCTCGCCTCAGCTGGAGTGAGGAATACAGTTCTCCACTGTCCATCTAAATGGCCTGCTAAGTTCAAATCACCTGTCCACTTCTGTGTACTTTGTAGTCCTGGGGTTAACAGATAAGTGGGCACATGCCCATGCTGCTGTTTCTCAGGGAAGGGGAGAGTGTGTATCATGTATATCCTCCCAGCCTCTCCCTGCCTAAGACTTGATCTGGGGAATTTATGCTGCCTGTATTGTAACTGTTCCTGAAGAGTCCCAGGGAGGGTGTGGGGTTGGAGACCCTCTCTTTTTTCATCTTGACCTTCCATTCCAGAACTTCTGGGCTGACTGGCTGACATAAAAGAACCCCCATCCTCAAGGAACAAAGATGAAGACTCCATAACCCATTTTACCCCATTAACTCACCTGCCATTTGCCCAGTGTCCAGTACAGGGGATGGGGGAGATGTGATAGTGCAAGAAAATTCTGCTCACACAGAGAAGGAGCAGCCTGATGAGCCAAGAATCTGAGGACAGCTACGGCTGTGTCTCTTCCCCTCTTCCCCGCTTGCTTCCTTTCCAGGAAGAGCTGGAGGGTGGGGAATTCCTGAGAATGGGCTGAGGGGCCTGGCTCCGAGAGGAAGTGGTGGGAATATCAGGGACTGACTCTATCTTGGTCACCTAAGTTTCACTAAATAGCCTTTCCCAGGAAGAGAGCTTCAGGTTACCGGACTAGGGCACCAGCCCAGGAGGAGAAACGGAGGCAGACCTCCCCTCCCAAGAGGGTCATTGCCACATGAGACCCAAGGGAGCTGCACAGGCAGCCTCAGCCCCTCCTACTGTTCCTAGGTGCTAATCCCTGCACGGACCACTGGAAAGAGGATTGGCTGAGTGGTTTGGAGAGGGGGCGTCGCCACTACCTTCCCCAAGGGTTAAATAGGGGCGCAGACAAGATGCTGGGAAGTGCTGTATTTCCCCGAACCAGACCATGACCCAGACCCTCAAGCTCGCCTCCAGGGTGTTGCATCGTGCCCGCTGTGTTTTTGAGCTGGGCGCCTCACTGGGCTCCAGAGGCTCCGGCTCAGCGCCTCGGGGCTTGGCAGACATCCCAGGTCCCTCCACGCCGGGTTTTCTGGCCGAACTTTTCTGCAAGGGAGGGCTGTCGCGCCTACACGAGCTGCAGGTAGATTGGGACTCTGTTCCTGGGACTCCCGCGCTGGGGACACAGACTAGTGCAGATCGTAGGAGGGAAGGCCAGTGAGGACGGATGCGCATGAATTACAGAAAGACTAGTTGGGACTTGGGGCTTTGGCTCAAGCAGCACGGAGTCCATCCCGACACCCAGCAGAGGAGTGCATTCAGAAAGCGCCTTCTCCTCGCAGTGCCGAAGTCTGGAAGCCCGGTAGGTCCAGACAAGTGGGTAGGAGGCAGGAACGCGCAGGACCTTCCCCGGGCATTTGGCGTATTGGGCTTAAAGCTACCTGCGCTCCTATCCTTTGGGCTCTCGTCCTGAAATGGAGAGTCCACGTGTGAACCTTTAGGGATTTTTCCACCGTGGCTAGGCCAAGGTGACCAAAGAGAGGTCCTGAATGTCTAAGCAAAGTTCTTTCACTTGGCCCGTCACGCTCCAACTTTAGGGATGGAAAGAGGGGGAGGGTTTTTTAGCATTAGGTCCATGCACCAGCTGGGAGCTCCCCCTTCCAAAGCCTGGTTGGCGTTGGCACGGGCCAACCTGGGAGTCCCTTTGCCCATGTCTCCGGTGTCGCCGCGCCCATTCTCCCAGGTGCAGGGCGCTGCGCGCTTCGGTCCTGTGTGGTTGGCCAGCTTCGGGAAGGTGCGCACGGTGTACGTGGCGGCCCCTACACTCATCGAGCAGCTGCTGCGACAGGAGGGGCCCAGGCCCGAGCGCTGCAGCTTCTCACCGTGGGCTGAGCACCGGCGCCAGCGCCAGAGGGCTTGCGGACTGCTCACGGCGTGAGTCCTCTCTGGCCCAAAGCCCCGAAGCCCCACTGCGTCCCTCTCCAGTGGAGGGTCTGGAGACAGTCTGGGGGTGTGGGGGAGGGGAGGCCGTCTCCCCCAGACTCTGCCAAATAGGGATTTTCACCCCAGTCTGTTTCTCAAGCTCAGGTAGAGCCCGGCCCGCACCCCACACTCCCCTCCTCTTGGTCCTTATCTTTCGAGGGCAGAATCCTGGGTGCCGGCAAACGGGGTTAGGGTACCAGGATCCAGATGTAATGTAAGATTCTGTGACTCAGGTTACCCAGGAATCCAGGCCCCTCTGGGGGCAGGAAATGAGTAAGGAGGAAAGGGGATGAAAAGCAGACGCAACCCCACTCCTAGTCACTCGAGCGGAACACGCTCCTCAACCGCAGCCAGCAACACCGAACGGCCTCCACACACACACATCTGCCCTGATGCGCCCCCTCTCCGCACCCCTACAGGGAAGGCGAAGAATGGCAGAGGCTCCGCAGCCTCCTGGCCCCGCTCCTCCTTCGGCCTCAAGCAGCTGCCCGCTACGCCAGGACCCTGGACGACGTGGTCCTTGACCTGGTGCGGCGACTGCGGCGCCAACGGGGACGTGGTACTGGGTCGCCCGCCCTGGTTCGCGATGTAGCCGGAGAGTTTTACAAATTTGGACTAGAAGGTGAGTACCAAGACAGTTGCGGCAAGCTTAGGAGGTACCCCCCCGGAGGGTGTGGGGTGGAGGTGGGGTCGCCCGTGTCCTGACAGCGCCCCCTCCCGGCCAGGCATAGCAGCTGTGCTGCTGGGTTCGCGCCTGGGCTGCCTGGAGACAGAAGTGCCTCCAGACACCGAGACCTTCATCCGGGCAGTGGGGTCTGTGTTTGTGTCCACGCTGTTGACCATGGCGATGCCCAACTGGCTGCACCGCCTGGTGCCGGGACCCTGGGGCCGCCTCTGCCAAGACTGGGACCAGATGTTTGCATTTGGTGAGGCACAGAGGTGAAGCAGGGATGGGAGGACGGAAAGCCGTCCAGGGGTAGTGAGGCCTCCCTGTACCTTCTCCCCACGCAGCCCAGAAGCACGTGGAGCGGCGAGAGGCCGAGGTAGCCATGAGGAGCCAGGGAAGGCCTGAGGAGGACATGGAATCGGGGGCGCACCTGACCCACTTCCTGTTCCAGGAAGAGTTGCCTGCCCCGTCCATCCTGGGGAATGTGACGGAGCTGCTGCTGGCCGGAGTGGACACGGTAGCGTTCTCCCTCCGTGCTGTGGGCCCACTTTCAGAGCTTAGCCTGTCCAATCTCACTCCGGCTGCAGAGGATTCACTATGGCCCTCTAGAACCGCCTGGGTTAGCACTTCCTGGGCTGCGGGCAGCTTCTCTTCCGCTCCCTAGGCTGGTTTCCGCTCTTACTGCCTCCAATGCTCTCACCTATCCTCTCAGGTGTCCAACACGCTCTCCTGGGCTTTATATGAACTCTCTCGGCACCCCGAAGTCCAGACGGCTCTCCACTCTGAGATCACAGCTGCCTTGGCCAGGGGGTCCAATGCCCACTCCTCAGCCACTGTTCTGTCCCAGCTGCCCCTGCTGAAGGCTGTCCTCAAGGAAGTGCTAAGGTGAGGGGGAAGGAGAGAAGGAGCTAGAGAAAATGCTGGGGAAGGGCTGGGAAAGCAGGTAGTCGATGGGAGCAGGGAGAAAGTGGAGAAAATTGTACTCTACTCCTGGCCAAGAATGGGTTTGGAAGTTGCTGGCATGAGAGGGAGGCTAACGGCCCAGCCTCACCTTCCTGTCTCTCCTTGTGCTCTGCCACCCAGACTGTACCCCGTAGTACCTGGAAATTCCCGTGTTCCAGATAAAGACATTCGTGTAGGTGATTATATCATCCCCAAAAATGTGAGTAGAGCCTATGGGTCCATTTTGCTAAGCCATCCCTCGCTATCTTGGCCCTGATCCCATTCTCAACTCTCCATAAGCCCTTCAAACCCTTCCCTTGGCCTGAATGCTTCTCTCTGGGATATAGTGGGGCAGTGGAGAAATAATTTCAAAAGCAGCCACAGAAAATTTCCCCATCACCTACTAGAGCCTGCCTTCATCCCAGTCCTTATAGTCTTTTCTCCATATCTCTCCTTGCATTCCTGGGTCCGAATTGACAAGTCTGTGTTCCTCCCTCACCAGACGCTGGTCACTCTGTGTCACTATGCCACTTCAAGGGACCCTGCCCAGTTCCCAGAGCCAAATACTTTTCGCCCAGCGCGCTGGCTGGGGGAAGGCCCAGCCCCCCACCCATTTGCCTGTCTTCCCTTTGGCTTCGGCAAGCGCAGCTGCATGGGGAGACGCCTGGCAGAGCTTGAGCTGCAAATGGCTTTGGCCCAGGTGAGTGATCTAGACCTTCTCCAGACCAGAGAGACCCTAACCCTCTCAAGCTGTGAGCTCTTCTCCTGACAAGCATAGGAAAACATTTAAGACTTAATATTTTAAATATGTCAATCTCATTACAGTCCTAGAAAGTGAGTGAGGGTATTTGGACTATCTATTTCCCTACCATAGTCCCTTATCCTGATTAACCAAGAAGTTCACTACCAACCTTGACCATTCTAACACAAATAATGCCCATGACCAAAGCAGCCCACCATTGTAGACTCCTCCCATAACGATAGCTTTCTTCCTCACTTTTCAGATCTTGACCCACTTTGAGGTACAGCCTGAGCCAGGTGCTGCCCCAGTCAGACCCATGACCCGGACTGTCCTGGTACCTGAGAGGAGCATCAACCTACAGTTTGTGGACAGATAGTCCTGTGGAAGGAGGCTGTTACCACCTTTTCTCTCATCATAGGGGTTTATTAGGCACAAGACCAAGAGATGTGTATTTCCCCTGAGACCTGTCTATCTCATCACACTAGTCAGAATGATCATAGCAAAGGGTTTGAGGCAGTCCTGGCCAAGGTGTGAAGTATGCATTTGGCCTGACCCAGCAGGCCCGGAGAAAACCACAGTCCCTCTGCTGCTCAGCCCTTTTCCTGATCATATCATATGCATCCTTCAAGGGCCAACTCAGGCTTTTAACTAATAATGCTGGGTGACCTGAGGAAGAATTCCACCACTGCCCTTTGGGGACTCCACAGTGTTCATTGATGCTGCTAACTAAGCTCTTTACATGACATGAGCTAAGTAATTGTGCATCTGGTCTGCACCTGGTTGGTCTTCCTTGCATGTGAGCTCTTTGAGAGGAAGGATGAGGCCTTATTCAGTGTTTATACCCCTGCCAGGGCCTGTCCCTGGGTGACACGCAAAATCTCAGATTGAATCTGGACCATGTGGCAGAAGCGGGGAGCAGCTTACCAGGCTCTGCCTACCCCGTTCTTTCCTCACCTTGCCCCTAGAAAGGTGAGTCTGCCCTTGCCTGGTTTATGATTTTTTAAAAACGATCCTTGCCTCTCTGGTCACTCTTGAGTTGGGTTGCTTAGTTCCTAGACAGAGACATCTCTGCACCTATCCCTGTATATGCCTTCCTTTTAAATATTGATATTTTTAAATATTCATAGTTTTGAAATAAAAAAAAAATTGAATGTTCCCTCCTTGACTTTTGACTTATTTCTCTCCCACTCTCACTTCCTACAAGACCTGGAGGCAAGACCCTCACCCAAATCCCTGACCTTGGTTTCTCAGGCCCTGGGATTGACCCCATAGCATGGGAGGTCTAGACACCTGGAAGAGGGGTTTGCATCACAAACCCAGACACGTTTCTGTCTGGAGTGGGAACAGCCAAGTCTGGCTCCCTGGAGGAGAGTAAGAGGGTGGTGGTGAGAAGTAACCACAGGGCCAGCTGTAAAAAAGGGCCAGAGCTAGGGATTTACAGAGATGACCAGAGGTGGCTGACTCTTTGGTAGAAGTGTTTTTGGAACCTGAACTGAAGGACATCCTAGAATGGCCACTCTCATCTCTCTGGGAAAATTGCTCCAAGGTCTTTTCCTTTGGAGAAAGACAGGGATACAACCAGAGAAATGAAGTCAGACAGAATGAAAGCTCAGTGTGGGGGTGGCCAGAAGCCCTGGGGCACCAAGGCAGAAAGGGGCTGTTTCCCTGAGTCAGCACTCTCTGACCCCCCAGAAGTTGGGCACAGCCCTCCCCTTGTGCTGTATACAGATGAACTCATCTTCCATATAAATCAATCTCTCAGCACACTCCCCACAGCTCCCTCTGAGGGTAACCCAGATTACCCTCCCCATGTCAGGACTTGTCCCCCTTCCTCCTGCTCCCTCCACACCCCATTCCAATGAGCCAGATGTAGATGGAGATTTCACTTCACACTTCCTCCTCCTCCCCACCACCTCAGCCCCCTGCCCTAGACATGGCTCCCTGACCACAGAAACTTCAATAGTCACCAAGCCTTCTGGGGAGTTATCTATTTATGTAAAATCTACAGAGGGGCAAGTTGTCCCTTTACTGTCCCTTCTCTCAATTCCTGTACTATACTTGATCTCCATCCCCATTCCCCTATCACTAAACTCAACCCAAACTTCAGTGAAAGAATAAAGCCCCGATTCCTCTCAGACCCTTTCCCCTGGACTTAGTGATGCAGGCTCTGACACCCACACTCCCCATTGGGCAAGTTGGACTACTCACTTGAGGATGGCAACAGTTACTATGACCCCTTTTCTGGATAAGATTCTCTTTAAGGTGGAAAAGGGAAGGATGGGGGATAGTACTGACTGCTGGTCCCAACCCAATACTAAGATATCTAATGGTACTGAAAGGAAAAGGAATATACTGTCTCACTTGGCCTGGTTTTAGGACCTAGAGTCCAAATGGAGACAGTGTGTTTGTGTGCCTATGATCTTGGGATTATTTAAATTTCCATGTGGGCCATCACAGGGGCAGCCCAGGCTTGGCACAGGAAACCCCAACTATGTGGTACCTACCTGAACCCTATCTGCCATGATAGGCACTAGTAGTCACTCTGATTTGCTGTCTCCCAGCTGACAGCTGGTCCCCACCAGCTATCCTGTGAATAGCAAATCAGTAAAGTCTGGCTCTTCTGTCTGCTCAAGTAGGGAATGTGGAAGGTTACTTCTCTGGAGAAACAATTTTCCACTGGAAAATGGGGGAAGGGGGAGCGGGATATTGCTCAGCCTCAGTTCCCTCTCCATGTTGATTCCTAGAGGTGATACACGTCCCACACGTCCAGGTGACTTTGGTATCTATACCTCCAGGCAAGTCTGGGTGCTAGCACC